AAACAAAGCCAGTAATGAACCCAGCAATATAATTAATGCCGGTATATATCAGTAATAAAGCGATTAATGCCAATGATAAAGTCGGTAATGCCAGGAATGCCAGTAACGCTAGTAATGCTAAATCCAGTGAGATATCCAGCAACGCCAGTAATAAGACCAGGAATATTGCCAGTAAAGCCAGTGATAATACCAGGAATAGTACCAGGAATAATACCACTAACAATAATACAGCCATTAATAAAGCCAGTAATAATATCAGTACAATACCAGTGATAATGTCAGAAACAATGCCAGTAATGCAAGTATTGCCAGTATTGCCAGTATTGCTAGTAATGCTAGTATAGCCAGTAATACCAGTAGCCAGTAATACCAGTAGCCAGTAATACCAGTAGCCAGTAATACCAGTAGCCAGTAATACCAGTAATACTGATAATGCCAGTATACCCAGTGAACCCAGTAAACCCAGTAATACCAGTATTGCCAGTAATTCCAGAGATCCCAGGAATGCCGTATTAAAATCAGTATAATACCAGTGATAATTCCAGTGCTGACAGTATTGATATTAGTATAATGCCAATATAAACCCAGTAATGCCAGTTATGCCAGCAATGTATCTAGCAATATAGCCGGAGATACAGTAGCCAGTATCATCGCAAACTATCCTGCGGGAATTGATCTTGGCTGCAAAATCTATCCACGCAGCACATCCCAGCCCACCTGCAGTGTCAATATCCGGCCCGAACATGGCGTTCAAGTCACATGCCTCCCCTCCCTTTCTGCCTATTGTCTTTCGTACCCCATGATGTTAGCAGCGCTTCGCCTCACCTGATGTGTTTCCAACGGCACTGCTTGAAAAAGCCTTCCCAAGCTCCAGAAAATATAGAAAACGCAAATTACCCGGCTTCACCACGTGATTTGCCTGCTTGTGTCCATACCTCTTTCGCCTCAGGCGAGGCCCTGGATTCAGCTCAAATTGGTGTCTAGAAAGCATGTCTGCCCATATACACTCCTGCCGTGAGTTTCGCCATTTGCCATGTGGCGCCCCACAGAATATTCCATTTCCTGTCCGCCCACGGCTCGGAGCCGTAGATTACCCACTCTCTCCTCTCATCAACTTGACCAAAAAGACGTATGTGGCCCGCCCGGCCCCTTGAAAGAAGCGTGTCTTTCGTATCATACTGCACGTATCTGGCATGATAGAGGCGCGGCGCATCAACGGCTTTGGAACCTGGTAAACTCGAGACGACATTGGTGGTTTCCTCCAGACGATGCCTGAATATGATCGTATGATATATCTGACTTTCTGGCTTCACTCCACCATCTCCTATTCAAACCTGCTCCTCTCACTTCCGACACCCGCGTCATTGCACCAATGAGCTGAATCTGCGACCTTCTAATTTGTGAATTGGTACTACCAATACTCAAAGCTTGACTAATCTCAAAAATGGCCCACTTCTCTCCTGATGTTGGATCACCATGCCTTGAAAGACTCAGCCCCACAGTTCACACATGCAAATCCGACTTATACAGGCGTACCTCTAAAATAGCAGAGTTCGGGTATCATGACCATTCGAAGCTTCGATGATCTGGACGCCTTGATGACGGCCATTCGAATAAGAATCTTTCTATTCGCATTACAACTTCGAGGGCTCTGTCCAAACTTAGTAATTGTTCAAGTAGCCAGAAGACTCACAATACACTTCAACTCGGCTTTAGAAACTTCCACGAGCTATATGCGTTCTTTGCATCGAATCAGTAAGAGAACCTAATCTCAGCGGTGCAAAGGGCTCTCCTTCACTGAAAAGGTGTGTTGGAGTTGGGGTAAGATTTCCTCAAATGCGGGCCAAAAGCCTCATTCAATATATGGATCTTTGTTCACAGCTTCTTCAAATCTCACCGTTGTGTAGAAACGGTTACTGATTCAATTGACACTACATGCCTGAACAATATCCTGCTACTTCTTTAATACCTTTGATTAGAAATCCATCGTGGATCGTCACCCTCTTCTGATCCAAAAATACCTTTCATGAATAGTACAAGATAAAGATTCGCTCGATGTAAGCACAGTGAAGTTTTGTTTCTGTGCGTCCAAATTTAAATCATTAAAATCACATTCATGAGTAAACCACATTTATCATCTGGTGTTGTATCACTGTAGCAAAGTACAAGCTCGAGCCAACATTCAACTTCGACTAAATTTCGACCTTGTTTGACACTGTGGCCTTTTCCGATACGAGTTCATATGCTCCAAGGTTAACTTGCAGTTTGAAGGACCTTGACTCCATTTAAACCCGGTGCATTAATTTTGAAGATCATGAGGGTGTTCGAACATATGATTAGATGCGGAGCATCTTTGCATAGGATTCGAACGAGAACAGCTCCATTTATATATGCAGTTGAAAAAGATTATTTTTCGACCAATTGAGTGTCAATTTCCAGAAAAGGAAGGTATTGTCATCATGACAATGCCTAAAGTCCGACAAGCTCGTGCCCTATTCTATTCAAACAGTTTGCTGATTTTGGTCCTGGTATTTGGCTGCTGCTTTAGGTAAATTAACAATCTATTTTGTCTCACTTTTCCACAAAGACACTCTAGCGTTTGTTTAATTATGGCTTACTTGTTGCTAGTTCGGCTTCGCCGCCGTTTTTCCGTCAACTTTTTGCTGGGTTCAATGTCACTAACTTTCATCTGACCACGCCATTTTCCCTGTAAGTTGTCCCCTTTTCTAGACCCCCAAAATCGCGTGGCTTAATTTGATTTCTCCTAATATACTAATGCTATAAAGAAACTCTTTCGCACCTATTCAACGTTGAAGTTTGAACACTACAATATAATGGAGGAAAGAATCCCAGAATGTACAAAGCCAATCAAACTTTAAGAATATCTTGTTGTTTCCTTAGAATTAATGTTCATATAAATTTTCGCTGTTGAGCCCAACAAAAAGGTGAATTCCTATGACAGCGGATAGAAGCCTGTCATTGAAAATGTTCATTTCTTTGCCTGATCATTTGAGAAATGACTTCGAATCATAACTGATGCTTTCAAGAAAGACCAATGACTGAGAACTCACACTATTCGATTTGTGGTTCACTGCTATGGTATGGAAGGTAAATCTGAAGAAAAATTGATACATTGTGAGCTGGCTGGAACTACTATGACGGAAGCTGGGACCACAAATTTTGGGACTGTCGTAATTGCTTCTATGTAACTTTTCTTCCAACCAATAATCCTGGCACTTCTTCTGCCAGATATGAAGTACGAAATGTAGACACATCAAACGATGAAGCGGCATCATTAAGATCTCATCACAATTGGAGGAATGTCCATGAATTGCGGATGATCCAATTTCGGCATCTTGATCTTCCATCCAAAGAAATGGGAGCGTTCCCTGGAAAGTCTGAGATAGAGAAACAGAAAGTGGGATTTCGAGTTTCAGCTTTTGGGCTAGCCTGGTCCCAGGTCTCGGCACTTCAATATTTCCACAATTATTTGGCATGAATTTACTGTGCATCCAGTGGGTATCAGACCCAGATAAACTTCCATCAAATAATTTCGAATCAGCGTTTCAATAAAACACCATATTTTAACCTCCTGTTGCATCTTAGTGACAAAGGATGAAGCCGAGTGTATAGTAAACTTGCTTTGGTGACTTCATCCCAGATAAAATCGGAAAAAACTTTCTACGATTTGAGCCCAGTATCTTCCCAGTACAAATTTGCTCACCTTCTGTTGCAAACAAATATACCAGTCATCGAAATCAGTCAAATCATATTTAAGAATTGTGGGATACAATGGAAGAAAATCTATAACTTTGGTAACCAAAGTCTTTTGCAGCTCGTTGCTGGGATTGGCAAACACACTTCGGCACTATGAAGGCATCTAAGAAGTCACTTCGGTATGCTCTCTGCAATAGATTGATGGTCACAAACATGAAGGGCTGAATAACTTACTCCGCTCCTACCAGAAGCTGGCATTCCTCTCGTCTCCTTTTCTCTGAGTTTTCCTATGGATTTAAAAATATGTATGTATATATGTGAAGCGGCCGCTCCGAGGGAGTTGGTCCCACGGAGAAACACGCAAGAATTGAACGTGGCACCACGCCGGAATGCCCATTAGTCTCAAGCTAGGAAAACAGAGTTGGATCTGCCCAGCAGAATTCGTCGTTGAGTCGTTAAAAGTTGGATTTTAATCGATGCTAATGTCAAATCTTCATCAGTTAGTATAGGTGAACGAGTTGGCGGTGTTGTAGCCGTCACTGCTCATGCCGCCAAGAGACCGCTTCTTAATGCTCTCCAACAAGTCGCTATTCTTCTTTTCGGTCTTCTCCACTATCAATTGCCTCAAGCACTTGTTTTCCATCTCCAAAGTGCGCAACTTCTTCTCAAGCAGACCCAAGCGATCCTGGAGATCACGAGCTCGCTGTTCCATTTCCTTCTCCTTCAACTTCTTCTTCACACGGAACCGAGCGCTGGCCGCCGTGTTTCTACGTCTCTTCACCTCCATGGTGTCTGCCGGATTAGCAGGCTCGGTCGAGGAGCAGGGGCTGCTCGTGGCCAGGCCAGGCGACATTTCCATAGTTGCTTTTGTGCTCGAACCGTGTGGCCCTACTACTGCCGAATCGATCTCCTCCTGCTTGACAGGCACGCGGTATTCTGGCTCTGTTTTTGCAGCCATGTTGGCAGGGTGCAGTGGCATCTTCAAGGACATGTTCTGCTTTTCCCTGGCGGCAAAGTCATGGGAAAAGACGTCCAAGTCAAAAAAGTCTGTCTGGGAAAAAAAGCCCAAGTCAGCATTGTGACTGGCCTCGTCCAAGGGCGAGACATCGGAGTTATCAAACACGAGATTCAAATTCGACAAGTAGTCGGAGGGCTGGAAAGTCATCCTGTGGTTCAAAAAAATAGGTAGATAATTTTTGCGGAGTTGGCAAGTACAGTGGTGATATGAAAGATATACGAAGAGCCTGGATATTGCGAGCGAGAGGCTCTCCATATAAAGCTGAGGGCTGTCTCAGAGGCAAACATGAGAGAAAAAAAAAAAATCTAATGAAAACTTTTTTCTCAGCGCGCAATCGGGCGCGCTTTTCTGAGTCACCCTGCTCGCTGTAATCAGCATCCATACGAACTAGACTGCAATCTTTCTAAAATTCCGCTATTTCCCTAGTCACGGGTCTCTATTTACGAGAGCTGGAAAGCGTCTCTGCTGGGAAACCACACGCTCGCTGGAAAATCGCCGGACTGGAGAAATCCTATCATATACAGGTTGTGAGCTGACATTAGTCATCCGCGACTTTGGGCACGTTGGCCGGAAGCGCGGTGCGTGTGTGCAGGACGCCAATTTAGCGTTTTTCGAGCAAGCTCAGGAATCGGTTATGTTTCTTTCGGCAACGTTGCTGTCAAACGGACTCCTATCCCTGGCCAGTGCCTGGCACGAGCCTGCCAGCGGAGTGCCGTATCCATCTATATACAGGATCTCCATGTCGTGCTCATAGCCCAGCAGTAAACGCAGCCTCTTTGTAGACCAGTTGACTTCCCGGGAAGCCCATGTCAAATTTCTGACCACCCCTGCCTCTTTGGAAACCGTACAACTATATCTGGAGATTCTTGAAATGCAGCCTGCTCCAGTCCCATAGATTTGGGATGCTCTAAATCGTTCTCTCTCTGCGACATTTCTCTCCGCAGCGCCAGGCGCGACTTTTACCTCCGCCTTCGCCTGCATGAGATATGGCAAAAAAACGTGCATTCCCCAAAGCTGTCTGAAGCTTTGAGAAAGCTGGATCATTGATTGTTCCAACATTGTTTAATAAAATTGCCTGGATCCAGCTCCGAGGAGTAGGACTGGCTCTCACAGGTCTTCTTACTACTCTTCTCAAGCACTTTTTGTTTATTTTGTGTTTTCGATTTTTGCCAGTCGGTATTTCGATATTTATTTCTGCAATCATGCGCGAGATTCTCTAAGTAGTGGGCAATCAGTAGTCTTCTTCTAAGTTTCAGGCAGACATCATCATTGCAGGACCCTATGAAGACACCAGAAAATTTAAATATTTGACCCTCTGTAAATTTCGCCTATAGAATCTCTTTCAAATTTTTTTTGAACCAAGCCTCACGGGACTGAATCCAAGCGATCTATCACAAAGTTCGAAAGAATAGTGTTTCAACGAAAACCAACCTGGAAAACACAGACTCCGTATCTCTCGATATGGCTTCCGGAAGGAAGCCACATCAAACTTCCTTGACCCTTCTTCCATTAAATAACAGCTATATCGGGCGAACTGGAGTTAGATAATGGTTTGGTCCGTCTATCCCATCCTATCCAATACATCTCTTGTCACTAATACGGGCATTACTTCCGTATCTCTTTGCATTCGGAAGTGAGGCCGAGAAATCGTTTTGCTGCCGCAAGAAATCCAGACTGGCTTTCACTTGTGCGTCTTGTGATTTGCTGCTATACCTTTGTTTTGGCATGCGAGATGAATTGGGCTCCACGCACCCAAATCTGGGAGATTGCTGAAAATCCCAATCACGCCTTTCTGCCTCGCGTCTTGGGGACAGCCGCCATCCATTGTTTTTGCTGGTGAGGTTTTTACGACTCTCGCAAGACTTACTTCTCACGTGAAAAGTTGTCAAGTCGCTACTGTCATTTGAAGCATGCGGCAGACATCTGAAGGGAATACTTCTGCTCTGCACGGGCTCAAACCAGATCCGGGCTTTAAATAGTTTGAAAAGCTCGGTTAAAAGGTCACGAAAGTTCACTCTTTTTGGCGATGTGAAGTAAATAGTTAGCTTCTTGCGGTCAAACTGATACTCGGCATCTACAATCTCCATTTGGCCTATGTCTTCACCTTCGAATTTTGTAGGCTCGTTCCCCCGCTGAATCCTCAGACCCAAGAAAAGCATACTAGAAATCACATTTATGGTGATTTGGCACGCTTTTTCTTCATCCCGAATCTTTCTGTAGATCGCCTCGGTATCCTTCGAGTTGGCCAACGAAGAGATAGCCTTTGGGGCATCCAATTGCAAGTGCACGTTCTTGCCTTTTGTTTTAAATCCTTGAGATTGGGAGCCTCCTTGACGATAATTGCCTCTTCCAATAAAAAAACACTTCTTTTCCAAAGTGTTGTGCATTTTAAGCCGACGAGATTCGTCATATGAGATGTCTATTTGGGCAACCTTGCCCAAATCACTTCCCCGATCGGCCTCGACAATGACCAAGTCATCTATTCTTAATCTTGAGAATTCTTTTGAATCACGATGAATATAATACACATCCAAGCGGCCCGCTTTGAATTTAACAAGCACTAGCTTCAATTTCCTCAGTTCTTGCTTTCCAAAAGATGGGGGCTTAAACTCTGCGGTCACAGTCCCAAATCTCTTTTCCAAGCCCGAGATCATACCGCCGTTGTGAATGGTTTCTCTTTTGCAAGGATCAGAATCAAAGTACCGAGATACTTCTTCATACATCTGAGCGAGCTTCACACTTGGATTAGGGGCGATAGACGTAGATCTGGATATTGACATTTCTCCCAAGGAATATCTGCGCATTTGACCAGAATGATTTTGCTCGTAGGGCGGGTTAGAATGGTCCAGCTGTAAATGGAGGTTTGAGAAGTGATACAGCCCCGGGTGTTGGACTGATTCATCATCACCGAAAGCATACTGATCCGCAAAAACAGGGGGACCCGGGTAAATCGGTGGAAAGGGCGGAATGAGCTGGAACTGAGACTGGTAAGAGTCACAAAAATGTGGATCTTGTAGCATGGTGCTGTAGCCTGTTGGAGACGAAACACCAACTACCTGCTGAGACTGGGGCAGAACGTTCTGGCTAGCAAAATTTGCGGCTGTTGTGTGAAAGTTCATGTTAGGCAGGAATGGAGTTGCTCTTGTGCACAGAATGTCCTGGACTGGCGTCTTTGTGGGCCCATTCAAAGATGATGCCTGGAGTTCATTTT